AGTGGCACGTGTATAGCGCGCATCGATACGCTAATTTCGTAATAGCCGTATATGCCATTCAGTGTCTTCTAATCTTCTCGTACACATTAATTTGCTCTTCAGGAGATTAACTAGCCTGACCCAGTCAATAAGAGTCAATTAGTGGATTATCACCGAAAACGGTGAATAGTCGCTGATTTCAGTAGTAGAGGAAAGTTCTCTATTATGAGATAGCGGGTTTTCAACATGAAAATCTAATCACAAGTCTTTATTCGCGACTATTACTACACGGTCTAATGAATTTTCCATTAAACAGATTTCACTCCAAGGGCAATACATTCATGATGAAATCAATAGATGATGCCTGTTAATTTAGTAAAAACCAATGGAACAGAAAGAAAAGGGAAGGCGGGTGAGAGCCGCCGCAGATGCGGAATATAAAAGTTTAATGTATAATAACAGTTTACAATGGTCATGAACGTTATTGTACGTTAAACTTTTATATTCCGCATCTAACACCCTGCGTCGGCTCCCACCGCCTTCCCTTTTCTTTCTATTTGATTCGTTTTATTATCACAGCCCTCAGACTATATTCGTTCTGTATTAAGCCAACGGCACACGGTACAATTTTTCCTCTCTCACTTAATCTCTCACTTAAAATTTTCGCCAGGGTCGAGTTACGAGTTACAGCGTGTCGCCGAGAGTTGAGAGTCACAGCGTGTCGTCGCGAATTGCGAATAGAGTCGCGAGTATCGCTGCGCGTCATTGCGTGTCGAGAAGACTGCCGAAACCCACCAGCCCGTGAAGAATTTGGAATAGAGTCACTTGTTATCGTCTCAATTGAGATGTCTGTGAGCTGTGAGAGACATGATTCTGTAGGACAGAGCCCACATTTATAACCGCAAATCAGTGACTATTCGCTGTATTCAGCGATAGTTGAATAATTATCTGTTAAAGAGTACCTTTCGTGTCCCCACTAATATTCCAATCAGCGGTGAATCAGTTTCACGCTTCGTCAGGAACCCCTCGGCGAGACTTAACAAGTCTAAGAGCTCTCGAGTGCCTGACAGTATCTATTCTCGTTGTTTACGTGTAGTCTTGTACGTTATATGAGAGCGATGTAAGAACTGTGCGAGGAACACACGGTTATGATCCATATTTATAGCCGGGCTTGAACACATATTTATAAAAGTCTCCTAGATTTATGGGAACAGCTATTTCCAACGGATACGCCGTGACCCCTCCGCGAAATCTGTTGTATTAGAGCAGCCTGAGATCGGATGTTGTTGGTGAAAAGTTGAGAATATTCCGCGGCGGAGAAGTGCAGCCCCGCTTAATATAAACGTCGCGTATTGCAGAATATAATTCTCCTCGTTTTCTCAAAGCCAGTCGCCACTTTTCTGTATTCCGGAGTCCTCGCGACGAGATTTTGCGCCCTTCAAGCGTGATTGCGTTACGCTTTCTTCGACGCGCTCTCGCGACGGAGCGCCGCGGCGACATCGGGTCCCGTCATTATAGCGACGGGATTTTCCGATATAAAAAGACCGATGTGCATTATATTCCGTTTAGAGAGGCGGGGCGTCGGGACGAAACCTGAGGAACGCGGCGCCGTAGACAATAACGTTACCGAAACCGCGCTGGCACTTTTACAAACGCAAACCGCCCGAGTGCGCGAGGCACGTAATGCGGCAGATTTTGTCGACGGGGCAATCTCTTTGCAAGTCGTTGATACCATTATCTTCGGAGAGAATTGCGTTCCGTATCGCGCAATTAAATACGATATCGCGCTCGCGATACGGTATTTCGCACCGCGCCGCGCGCATTTATTCACGCGGCAAAAGCCGTGCATACTGATGCCCCGTTTCTGCAGCCAGGTTTTTGCGACTGAATATCAGCGTAATTTAAGAGGACGCGAAACGCAATTAGCGCGACGCGTGAGTGTCTTATCTGGCGGATACTAATTCCAGGAAGCAAGGGCCTTCGTGCGGCGCGATAACGTCCGTCCGCGAGGCATCGCTCATACCCTCGAGGCTCGCCGCGCGATTTTAAAAGCTTGTTACGAGATGCTGAATGCCGTGGCGCGCTCCTATTTATTTAACGCGCCATTGACGCCGCTGAACATCATGTAACGGTGAATAAAGCCTATCCACGATCGATATAGTCCGCCGCGCGTATGAAGCCACTCCGTTATTTTTTCTGACACTCGTAAAAAATCGATAGCTGCCGTTAAACGCTGAAAAAAAAACAGTTCGCCGCCGTAGCCGGTTGTGATTTGCTAAAAATATTTTACTGCGTTAACTGTAAATCTCTAAACCACGGTTTGTTGTCGCACCTAATGCAATAGGCGCAGCAGCAAAGTGTTAGCTATCGCAGCTAAATAGAGGAAAATCTCCTATTACGAGACAGGCTCCTAATATGAGACAGCAGGGTTTCCAAATTAATAGACGTCATCTGTTGGTCCCATCGTGAATTTATTGCCCTTGGAGTGAAATGCGTTTAGTGGAAAAATCATTGTTAGATCGTGCAGTCGTCGCGAAAAAAGATTTGCGATTGAAATTGGATGCTGAAAATCGGCTGTCTCATATTAGAGGCCTGTCTCACAATGGGAGACTCTCCTCTATTAGCTGTCCATATTTTACGACTAAAATTTAGTTGCCCCGTGCAGCTTTCAGCTACGGCAGCTGCATTTTCTTTCCGTGCGGCAGCGTCACCGACAATGAGAGCGAGTTGATTTTAATTTGGGGACACCGAGCGTCACCGATACGACTTTTTTTTTGTTTTAATTACTAGCGCGGACAATTGAGAGTTGGCGATTTATAGAGGCGTGATGTAGCCCGGTGACTGTTGAACGTTATTCGCGCCCCATTCCTCTCCCCCCAAACCGAATTCGTTATTAGATACTTGTGACGCATGCGCCCGAGTGCCGATCGTAAATTGCGTAATTACCGGCTCGCGCGCGCGATCGCGTTGCGCTCTCTCAAAATTCGCGCCCCGTCGCGCTCCGTCAATTTTCATTAAACGGTGCCGGGGCGCGCATCGCGATTCTCCCGATCGCGTGATTTTCAGCAGCCCCGGGTTTCGCGTGCACGCGCGCGGACATTGGAGCTTATCGTATTTATTCGCGCTAATCAAAGGTCACATTATGCGATAGAGCGACAGGATGTTGTGTAACTGCGCTCGTGGATAATAATGCAAACGCGCATTAATGCAACAGCCTCTCCCTCCCCCCCCCTCGTAGTTGAAAGCTACGAAGTGTGTATAAAACAAGCCGTCAGGCTTGTCCGTTACCGCGGAAATTACTGTCCGAGGAATTAAAATTCCAACGGTGCATTTTCCTAATAGTAATTTGCCGCCACTCCGAATTGTAGGGCGGAGTTTGCGGTGTTGATAGCCGCGCGCGAAGGTGCATTAGAAAGTTCTCAACATGTTAATGCGGCATTAACAGTCCTCGGCTTCGCCCCGAAACGTGCGGCGTTTCTTAACCGCGCGAACATCTTCGCCTGCAAAATTGCACAAGGTACGCCGCTCGCGTGCAATCAACGGAGACGAGATAAAATTTGCGAGATCGGGGAAACGGACCGCGCCGGGAATTCGATCCCAATTTAATCTCGCGTATTAATTTTTCCCCCCCTCTCGCATCTTCGTTCCCCGGGAGATAAAACCGGAGCCGGTGTCTGAAACTTTCGTTTCCGCGTAATACGCGGGTTGAAAAATTCATCCGGCTCGCGGGAGCGGTGGTTTTTGCGCGCTCCAACTTCTTAACTTAATGAGGCGATCGAATTTTCCATAGATTTCCGACGGACGAGCAAATTATCGTAATGGCGGTTACTTGGCTTACGAAGCGGTCGCCGAAAAAAATAATGAAGACAAACGAGCACTTTTTTTTTACTGCCCCGGACGACCGCTATTTCTCGCTCTTCGCGAGAATGTGCCCCGTCGAGAGGTCGCGTAGTAAAAGGTTTGCGCGTCGCGATATATCAGACGGACATTTATTGCGAGTTCTTACACTTTCGCCACCGCGCACTGAAAAAAAATACAATGTTCGCCACCGTAGCCAATCGTGATTAGCTAAAGTATACTTTTTGCTGCATTGAGTATAAACTTCTGAAGCACGGCAAACGGTTCGCTGTCGCACCTAACGCAATAGGCACAGTGGCAAGGTATCGGCTGTCACAACTAAATATTAGCTGTCCGTATTTTGACAACCGGGGGTCAATTTTGCATCCTACAATGTGGTGAAAATGCCAAAAGTGAGCGACTCTGTCCCTTTCTAAGGGGACAGTTAGCAAGAGACAAGGGCTCTTAGCACTTTCGCGGTGTAATATACAGAATTGTTCCCCTGAAATTTAGTTACCGCACGGGGGAGAAAGAAAACGAAGTTGCCTGAATTAAACGTCACGGGCTGCCACAAGCGTGAAATTTATGCGTTTATATAATTTTAATTTTAAGCATTGAAATAAATATTCAGATCATCGAGACGACCGTCTGATGTTTTCCGCCCATTAATATCGATGACGCTTCAACGATTCTGTTTCAATTACACTGATCCCGTTGATACAACGTCAAGTTCTTTTCCCCGTGCACATACAGTTTTCGGCCACGACGGCTACATTTTTTCCCCCCGTGGGGGGTGTACCGGCGCGAAACTTGTCACTGTTAAAGCCCGCGCCCGTTCTTACTGTATACACCATTAGACGCAGCCCCTCGTGTCGATGGGCACTCTCCGCGGAATGATAAAGGCACCCCCCGGTTTCCCAAAACTAAGTACTCCCCGTCGGCGTCGTCGCTAATGGACGCTAACTTAAGACGACGGCGGGGGGGGGGGGAGGAGGACGAGGGAGCGAGGTTTTCCAGCGCGCTGCGGTTGATCTCGGTTACCGTTCTCCACTTTGCACTTCCTCCTTTACCCCTCCTCTCGCTTCCCCCCCCCCCTCCCTCTCCCTCTAACTCTCTCGAATCGAAAGCGCGTCCTCGACTTCGCCGCAAGTTGTGCGCGCACTTGAAAATAATTGAAAACTCACCGGGAATTAAAACCGGGACGAGGGGCGGGTTTGGAGAACGTCGGTCCTCGGGGAAAAGTATCCCTCGCGCGCGTTCGCGACGTTGTGCGCGCGCGAGTAGCGCCGGGTTAGTGCGCGGTAGTGCGCGTGCGGAAATTATAAGGGTTGGACGGTCGCAACGGGCCGCGCGCCTCCACGATACTGGCCGGCCGTCTCGCGGCACTCGCCTCGCGACGCCGGCGGCCCAGAGCGCGTACTCCAGACGCCGACCTATCGCGGCCCGGCGACCGAACCCGGGGGTCCACCGCCGACGGTTTTCCGCGCCTCGCCGTCGAGAGAGAGAGCTCTCTCTCTCTCTCTCTCTCTCTCTCCCCCTCGTCGGCGCCGGAAGCGGTGCCGAGGAACTACCCTCGCTCGCGCGGGACGAGCGCACCCTCGCCGCGAAAAAGGAAGAGACGGCGAGAAAGGAGCCTGCCGCCGGGGACGATCTCGCGTCTCGGGACCGTCGAGCGCTGGGACGAGTGAAACGCGCAAAATTGTACGCGCGCGCGTGGGTACACGGGATTTTATGGGATTTAGAGAGACCTCCGTTTCGCTCTCCCGATCGAAACGCTGCTATCTTGCGAGATGCGCGACATAAATCCATATCGCGCCCGATCGATTTATCGACATCCGCGTGTCATTGTATTTTTTCGGGAAGATATTTCCAATTTAGCACTTTAGGCGGTATCGGCTGAAACATGTCCGCCACCGTTGACGGAGGTGACCCGCGGCACTGTGCTGAATCGTCAAACTGCATATTTAAATATTCGAAAATTACCAATTTTATACGGAGAAATTACATTTGCCCAGAAAAATCATATTTGCTTATCGTTTTTACTACCTATTAATATTTCGACCGTGTACGTGTGTTTGTTTAATCTTCACTTAACGTTTTAAAAACCGTGTACCAGTTTACATTTCGCTCGCTCCAAAAGGCAGTTGAGAATATAAATGACTACTTTTGACGGCTATAAATATACCGACTTAGAACGCTCATGCAAATGAAATGGTTATCGACGTCTTCGATCTTTCTTCTTTTTTTTTCGGTCGGCGCGTTCGCAATCGAAGACGATAAATTGCTAATTCAACGGCGAAAGTGTTAATCTTTAAAGTACAACGGCCGTTCTTTATGCAATGCCGATTCTGCAACGAGTTGTGTTCGATTGCTCACGACAATCCCATTTATATGCATTAAAACGTACCTATGTGACTTTTCTCCTGCCGCCCGCCACTCAATTTTACGTCGGAATTCAATCTCGAGTTTGCCGATTGAACGTGTGCGTTTTATTCGCTTTCCAACCCCTGTGGGATATATCAATCTCTCAGTCAATAATTTTTATCTATCAAAGAGTTATTTTGTATCTGTCTGTGAGCAATGAAAGCCATTCGTGCGTTGTACCCCGAGATAAATATGATATTTCTTAACGTCCCTATCGCAGCAGAATAATGGCGTCCAGTTTATCATTCGAATACTTCGCTATTCAACATATTCACGAAACTTTTCCGTCCAATCGAAGTTGCGTGGGAGATTTATCAAAGTCACGGTCCGTATGTCCTTTCTTTTTTAAATTACTGAGAAAAATGTCCGATTAAATACAATCGGATAATCCAACTGCATGACAACAAACGGATATACCCGATGAAAAATGCGACCGGTTTTTCAATCAGATTTCACCGGACGTACCCATAATTTAATCGGGAAGCGTAATCGGAAAGATTATTAGCCGTCGAAAACGCTATTTAATCGATTTATCCGACGAAAATTTTTCTCAGCGCAACGTTTCGAGATGCTTGACAAATTGGCATTCGGAAAACCGACGTGCTATCAACGTTGTAAGGTCGGTAGGTCGAGTTTTCCAAAAAATTGACCCGCCAGTACGGGCGGTGACACGCGAAATATTGTCTTCAGCGCTCACGTGATTGGAAAACAATTGCCGGCCGTAACTCGATACAACGGCGCGGTGGAAAGACGTGCGTTTCTGATTCATTGTATGAGAAAAACGCGAAAGCTTTTTCCACTCCTCGCGGAGGGAGGAGAAAATGACATTCGTGTATTTTAACACCACGTGCGGACGAGGACGGGGGGGAGGGGGAGCGCGTTAACTGCGAAATGGATTTAGAATGGACGGCCTTTGAAATTGACGTTAGCCGGTGCATAAGGACCACCCTGCACGCCGGCTGAAATTCGGTTGCAATAACATTCGACGGTGAACTCCCGGACGGAATAAAAACTGTGTCGCATGTGAACCGGACGGTAATTACGCGCGACACATGCGTTTCATAACGATTCATTGTTCTACGAAATAGCATGGCTTTTAATGGCTCTGCAATTCCGGCGGAACGCACTCGTATAATGGGATATAGGTGTGGACGGGAATTATGTATACGCCGCGACCTATTTTGAGACCGGATTAGACGAGACGTGTATTTATTTGTAACGTCAAAAAAGAAAATGTTCGCCCTTCGACGGGGAATCGCCGCATTTTACGTATTAATGTATCGCGCGCGCGCACGGGTCTCGATGAAATAGATTGTAATAGAATTATGTAATACAATTGATTTCATTTCCGTCGAATTTCGCATCGCCGCCGTACCACACCGTGGCGGAGCGTACGTTTTTATTGATCCATTATCTAATAGAAACAATAGAGCCGGCAATGTGGCTTCTCATCGCGTTGCTATAGGCGCAATTTTAGAGTCGCCGGACATGTAACATTAGCTGAGGTTCTCCAAATTGCGTTTTTGCGCCCGCCGAAGGTACAGCGCGACGGTAGGATTTAATGCCTCGTATTTGCGTGCTCTCCGTGCGCGGGGCGTGCGACTGTAACGGTTTCTGAAAATTTTAAAAAGCTCTGTCTACCGTCGTTTGATTCTATCATATTCAACAGATGACATTTTAATTCATCGCATATTCACAAGTGATGGAATAAGTTTTCCTAATAACGAAAAAGCAATTTGCCCCGATGAAAACGTGAAATGTTCTCCCCAAGCGCCCACACTATTTAGGTCAATAAAAATACTCTAGAATATTAATATAAACTGAAAAGGAAATGAGAGAGAGGGGGGAGAGAGAGAGGGGGGAGGGAGGGAGGGAGAGGGAGAGGCGTATTAAAAATATCACATTCAATGTAGATTATTTAAAGTGCAGATAAAAAGTGACAAAACAAGAATGTGGAAATAAAACAAATATTCATATTTGTCTCTCGTCATTCCCTCTTCTCTTTCCTGATACTATTTCACGTATTTCGCTTCTTCATGTCATACGCAACGCTGTAAATATGTATCTGTGGTCTCTCTCTCTCTCTCTCTCTCCCCCTTTTTTGTTTCGAAACGTGTAACTTAAATGACAGGTCACATGTGTGACGAGATGGATCGTGGTGTCGCGTATTTGCGGAATTTTTTTCGCGCGTCAACCGTACCCTCTAATTACACGGATAATCGAATTGGCGAAAAAAAGTACGGCCGGGATTATACCGGACGACGTATGGCGGGGCCCGATGATTGGAATATTTTCAATTACTTATGCACACAGCACTTTCAATTGTCACTTTGACCGAATGAACGTTCAGCCAATTACAGCGCAGACGCAATATTGAAATGACACGATCGCTGGCACACGCGTTAAAAAGAAAATAGAAAAACGGCGGGACGATCGGGAGTGCATAAACGGCCGCAAAAATCCCGCTATTAGTGTTACGACACGCGTAACGACGTGCCGTAACCCAGATAGCACAAGACACTCCTATGAACATTTTAAGAATATTCTTCCAGAGTATTTGAAATTTTCCATAGGTCATTCTTATATATTTTATCTTATGTTCGTGAAACGTTCGACTGGCACTACTATTAATCCTTTTGGAATGGAAATTGAATAATCGAATATAGCGTGTCGGTTATACAGGTTGTCTCATTTTAAATAATCCACGCAAATCTCCAAAAATATGAAAGAAACAGCTTTTGTTTGAAACGTTTTTCCGTATCTTTCATATTTTTGGAGATATTTGAGCGAATCATTTAAAGTGAGACACCCTGTATATGGTACGATCACAGGTTTCACTTCATTTTGCACAAGATAAGTGTATTACACAATAAACAATGTGCAATACATAAACTCGATGAATATTAAAATTACTCTGAACGAATATACCAAAGACATTCTCGACGAATATTCTAAAAACGTTCTCCTTTGTTATGAACAAACGATTTCTAATTGTAATAATCTCTATATACTTACAGAATATTAAGAATATTTGCACTCCAAAAGAATATTGATAGGACTATGTGTGCCATATGGGAAGCGTGCCGTTTTACAAAATTAATAGGTTTGTTTAATGAAATAAAGCTCTCGCGTTCGCGGCAGTCGAGTTCTTATCTGTTTGAGGAATCATCAGTTAGAATTCCGCAACGTTTACGATCGAGTTTCAGTAAGTTGGGGTGTTACCGCTGCTCCGTGAGAAATAGTAATAAACGTGCACAAACACGCGCGACTCGTTCGAAGCTAACTCTCTGTTTACCACTTGTGTCCCGCATAATTTATGCGAATCGCGATCCAATGGGGAAAACTGTGCCAAAGTCTTTCGCAAGTACGATTTAATCTCGCGTAATTGATAATATGGAGAATCATCCTGCGTAATTACGCCCTTCGTCGTCCATCCTCTCGGCCCCGCGTAATTTAATCTTTCATCGTCGCTTGCGTTGTCGCTCTTTTAATTATGTCCCTTTTCATGGAGAAGAAGCGGGGCTAAATTTGCATTATGTAGCTTCAACTAATAATTATGAAAAGGACTCTCTAAAGCGGTGGCGGCAATAAACGACGTAACAATTGCCGACCAGCTCCGAGCCGAACAATGCTCTTCAAGTCTATACGATCGGATCTCGTGAGCAACTCGAAAACATCAATCGCGCTCCGCACGCCGGTATCTCCTGATTAATTAGGAAGTGCGAAAAAGCTTCCGTACGCTTTTACCCAATTCCCGACGCCCGAGCGCCGTGCAAAATTGCGGAATTGAACAAGAGGGGGCGAAATAACAATGCCTGGGTAAGTTCGTTCAAAAATACACGAGGAGCAGGTCGAAAAGTTTTCCGCGAGATTCTCTCTCGCGTCGCACTCATTTTAATTGAATCAATTACACGCTCCATTATTTGAGGCGTCCGTGAATCGCCGTCCGTTCCCCCGATTCTTTGGATCCGACGCACCGGGAAAAATACTTTATCACCGTCCGCGTGGTGTGACGTACGAGCCTTCCGCGCAATACGCTTTTTCTTCCCTTGTTTCCGCCCGGACAGGGTTACACACAGATATCCGCATTATTCCGGATTGTGCCGACGCCAGAGAGGCGATGTTAACCGCGCTCAACTTCGCTAAGGGAGAGCCGTTACTTCGGGATGAAACAGAGCTCGCGAAGATTGCGTATTTGTCACTCATGTAATATAAGTGGTGTGAAAAATATTACCTAGCGAAGGAAGGGACGCGGGGACACGCGTATACATGTGTGAGGTAATAACTTGATTTGCAATTTATCATTCTAATACTGTTGCGTGGATAAATAAAAACGGAGGCTACTAAATAACACGCTCTTGTTACGCCAAGTCTTTGTCACACGCGTCGTAGCTCCTTTCGCAAATATTTAAATTCGAGCACGTTCTACATTCATTATCATTTATGAGCGTGTCCTGTAATTTATTTTCGAATTAACGCGAGAATAATTTCTACGTGTGCCGCTGCACACTCGGCGCTGTGCTTGCCGATGCTGAAAATGATCAGATTTTATTTTACCTGAAAAAAGCAATAACGAGAGAGAGTGAGAGAGAGAGAAGCCGGTATAAACGATATCCACGGCGAGATCACACGTCGGCATTTGGCCTCATAACTACTTTCACGCATACGATAAAATATTTCTCATACCAAGGCATATTGATGTCGCCCAAGTATGTTCTCAATAGAGGAAACCGGCGCGGCGTCCCGCTTATTCGAGTTTTGCCGACAAATATATAGCGAATTTATAATTCAGAAACGACACTGAAATTAAATCTTCCGCGATATATCGAGTCGTCACTAGAAAACACGTATCTTCCTATTAAACTTTCACAACGACCGTCCCGCCGCTTATTTCTGTTAGCGTTCTCCGGGGTCCTTTTCATAATTTTTTCTCCAACTAAAATAGATTGGTAAAACACACGAAGAAGAATTCGTGTTAGGGAGAAAGACGAAAATCTAGCAAGCTGTCTTACAACTAGAGTTGTAAGATCTAAGTCTTACAACCAAGTTGTCAGATTTGTGATAAAGTTCTAAACTGTACGCACTACATGCTTAACAGATTCCTTAAAGGAGAATAGAAACGATTTAATTATGTTTTATTTCCTTCCTCCTCCCTCTCTATTCTTCCAACGTAATTACGTGTGGTCATTAAACCGCCGCAATTTTCTTAATGCAATCTAAAGAAGTAGATCGAAAGAAAGGCAGTCTGAATAGGAAAGTAGATCAAGAGAGAGTCGTGAAAGAGCTGCTTTAACGTATTTATTGGAGGGATTTAGCGGAAGTGAGTCTTAAGAATTGCGCGAAAGAAATTTTATCGGAATGAAATAGCTTAGCGTTAATGCTTCGAGAACATGGACCAATGTACAGAAAAAAATATTTTAGGATGAACTAAGAGAGAGAGGGGGAATATACATCGCGTTAATCTAAATATACCAATATCATTAATCCACTGTATTAGTAAAATAATAACTTGAAATTTTTATTATCATCTTATTTACATTAAAATTTCAATTAAAAATATAATATATATACGTATATATAAAATGCATAATTTTATGGCACAGTTACGAAAATTTCTATCAGTCTATTCTTTTCCTGTGAAATCTTGTTAATTTTTATCGATCATACGTACGTCTTTTCCTGCGTAAATTAGAAAATGTATAATCAGTCTTTAATTTATATACAAAACAAAATTATATTTTCTTTTTAGTAATTGATATTGCTATTTGAATTACTAAGTTTTAATACACTGCTAAAAAAAAGAAATACGGCATAGAAAAATTTTCTGCAAAAATTGGTCTACTTTCACTGACGGTAACTCCGCGAAAAATCATCGTAAAATTATGTTCTTTTTTTTTAATTAAAGCTTGAAATCTCTACTTTAAGATACTATAGTTCGATTTTAGGTGTGAGGCATCCCTACCACTGTAACACCTTAAATGTGACGGCATGCTTGTTATATTGAAAATTACAAAGTTTGACAGTGTGCATGGACTTGATACATTTTTTTCGGGGATATCAATCATAGTTCGATGATTTTTCGCGGAATTACAGAAGTTGACCAATTTTTGCATAAAATTTTTCTATGCCATATTTCTTTTGAGCAGTGTATATTCTACAATGCACATATAATTGTATTTTAATAGAAATATTTGCGCATAACATATATTAATGTATATATTTGTTTCACGCGCTTTCATACCAATATTCGCATATCTCAATAAAAAAAATTAATTGTAAAAAATATACAATATGTTTGAGCGTTTCATGTTCAGTCGCATAGAAAATGTATGCATTTTATATGTAGCTGTAATAATATATCAAAATTGCATTTGACATTACGCAAGGTATGGGATTATTTCTGCGTTTCATTTCCTGCAGTATAGTACATGGAATCCAAAAAGCATTTTGTAAAGTCACCGACCACACTTCGGTCCGGGATGCTTTGACTCATTCCGTACATTGCGAGCTGAAAAGTGTTACATTGGTGTTGTAAAATCTACTTCTAAATTTTTATTTTGCTGTTTTTACCTTTCCTTCTACCGGACTACTTCGGGTTTCCATAATCATTTCCAGTTCCGTATCAACATCCTCTAAAAATTGATCGGCAACTCCTGGCTCGGTATGCACATGTGTAATACATATGTGTATGCCGCAAGGGAATTGCAGCGTATTCAAGTTCCATCCCTTGTCGCTGAGAGCTTCGGATAGTCTATAGATGTGAAAATCATTGGAGCCGATTGCAATGACAGACGTGGCTGGTGTGCCAAACACAAAAATTCCATTCATTTGTCTCAACCTACAATTAAATTTTTTTTCAAATCAATATATATATATATCATTGATATTTTTCATCCATGATATAAATATATCTTTGATTACATACTTTCGTTCGACATATCTCGTAATTTCAATGATCTTTTTAGTTGATTTTACATATTCGTCACGCCCGTAATACATCAATGTGGCCCAGCAAGTGGCTATAATGCCACCAGCTCGAGATCCATTGATAGTTGGAGAACCGTATATGCCACCAGGCCAGTCTGTAGTAATCGTATATTGATGATGTCGATATTTTTTGTTTCGATAAAGGATTAGCGAAGATCCTTTCGGAGCATAACCGTACTGAAAAAGAATTATATGGTCTACACGTGCTTCGAGCAGCATGTACGATCTTACATATTCGTACAGATGGATACCTTATGCGTGTCAGCTGATATGCTCGTCACACCTGGAAGCCTGAAGTCAAAAGGTGGTAAGGCGTAACCAGCTTCAGACATAAAACAGGCTAGAAAGCCGCCTAGGCACGCATCTACATGAACGGGTATATCGTATTTTACGCCTAATTCGGATATCGCTTCGATATTATCCATCGTCCCGTAGGGGAAATTCGGCGCAGATCCTACTAACTAGAAATCAACAATATTAAATTCGGACAAGTTTAGAACGAACTTGCCAACAGTGGCTCTGCACGGCGTCTTACCATTATTGTATTTTTTGTAATTGACTTCCGCATAGCTTTTACGCAAACTGTAAAGCTCTGCGGATTGACGGGTACGGAACGTATCTTTATGTTCAAATATTGCGCGGCTTTGTCAAACGCCGCATGAGCGGTAACTGGTAACACTATCTCTGGTTTCCTGATGCCCTTAGCTTCACGGGCATAATCCCTGTATGCTTTACACGCTAACAAAATTGACTCCGTACCACCCGTAGTCATCTAAAATTATTTAAAGAATTTAACATGTCGCATCTTGTACTATTCTTTAAAGCAAAATCGCAAGACTCGTAACTTGTTTGCGTGACTCTCGTAAGAGCTGACTTATCAGTAATCTGCAATTCTATGCCATATAGAATTTACAAGTGAACATACGATACGCAAATTACTCGCAAGTCCTTGTTAAATTTTACAAAAGTTAATTCTTACGAGTCCTATGAAAACAAGTTATGAGTCTCACAAATCTTACGATTTTGCAGCATAAAGTTATATAATTCTATATAGACTGTAGAAACAATGGAGAAGCTACTTGCAGTTCCACAAGATGCTTTGTCTCCATTGAACAAGTGGCAGGCTATCCTAACTACTTCTGCCTCCAATTTACAAATCCCGGGGAAAACGTCAGGATGCAACGGATTGGTGTATGATGCAATCGCATATACGTTCCCCATCAGCTGCGCAAGTTCGTTGTTAGTTCTATAAACTGCCCCTGACACACGACCCGCTTCCCAATCGTAGTCGCCTGGAAATGGTGCGAAAGAGTCAAGTTAAAGTAATGTAATTTCCAGCGGGACGCAGTCTTGGTCCAAGTTGACTAGTCTTACCCAGGTGAACAGACTGATTGATCAAATTCATTATCTTTTCATTTTTCAATCCACTTTTGGGGAGCTGCACAATAAACGAGGCTTCCTTGAGTCTGCGCACGACGTCCTTCTCGAAGTTTTCGTTAATACTGACTAGCTCTTTGTTTATCTTATCGCGTATAGAAGGGACGTAACGAGCCAGTTTGAACAGCTGTTTCTTGCCACGTTCCAAGAGACCTGTGCAACACGTAATGGTTCTGACCCTAGTCTAACTAGTAGGTTCACTCCGTCATTTGTTTGGTTTTGCGTCGATCCCCCTCTGCACATCCGCCATCATTTTGGTCAAGCCAATGAGAGAAAAGTTGCATGTGTAGCTGTGACGAGTAAGGCTAATATTACGTTTGTCGTGCGACAAATGTAATATAAGGCTAAGTGCGTACACACGCAGGTGGATTGCTGACCAAAGCAATGGCGGAATGCCACGTGTTCGGGGCCGAAAAGATTAACGGGCTGACAGAGAATGGACCTACTAGTTGAGCAGAGAACGATCCGCAAACTCTTAAGTTTGCTTAGGCCCGGTTTCATCAACATCGCTTAACCTTAAGCTCAGCTTAATTCGTTCTTTGTCCCTTTCCAACTGTTACTCTAGAACGAGACAAATATGAATTAAACTAAGATTAGAGTGGGCGGAGAAAAATTGAAGTCGTATACAATAGACTTTCAGTGAGAAGAATTGTTACACGACTTAGGCTGGCAGATGGTTTATTTGATTCCGACGTTTCGACCATACGGGTTGCGGTCCTTTTTCAAGGAATTAGATAATCTACAAGTTTCATTTGACAAGTTTAGAGGACAATTGCAGTGTAAATTTCGTCGATTACAAATGAAATTAGTTGGATTACAAGCCAGATAAATTATTCATTACTTACAAATATTACGTCATCTATATTATTCGAAAAGAGTTTTGACATCCATTTCTGGGCGTCTATCGGAGAACTGTGTTTGAAGGCACGTCCGTCCAACGTAACGACCACGGTAGGACTAGAGTTTTAAGGCTGGTCTACAATACGTGGAGTAAGCGTGGAGTAAGGAGTAAGGGAGAGCCCTAACTTCTAGCTTTTGGTGTAAGGAAGCTGAAATACGGGCATGATTTTTAAAATAATTGTAACACTGATTGATGGCATTTTGATTCACCGAGAGTAAGCTAAGAGCTGAAGTAGGAGTGAGAAATAAAATGGATTTATTTCCTTACTCCTACTCCTTACTCCAGCTTACTCCATGTATTGTAGACCAGCCTTTAGGTGGTATAGAGGAGATACCGGAGAATTTTGTAAATAAATGGTTGGACTGACTCCGAGCCAGAAGGGTAAAAATAGAATCTCCATATCCGATTTTACCGACAGAACTGCCTATATTTAGTCTGGACTCGCACCGAAAGGCAAAGTTTGTCGATAAAATCGAATATATTTAGTCCAGACTCGCAATTTCATCCGGGCATCTGGCGATCTGTCTGCTAATCTGCGCTACAATAATTATGACAAACATGCCTCGGTGGTCGAATTGGTGAGACGCCTAGAGTGTAGGGAAGCCCGAGTTCAAACCCTGGCTGAGATAATGCTTTGCGCAATAAATTTTCTGTATTATTAAACACGCCAGATACGGCCAAGCAAACGCCGACGTTGTCAATGGGTCTGTTTTTTATCGCTGCACTCGTGAACTAGTGCACACTGGTGCAATGAGTTGGAATGAGAGGTAATCTATTTGTTTCATTTTAACTTACTGCACTAGTTCAGTAGTGCAGTAATAAAGAACAGGCCTATTTACGACAAAGATAACGTCAATGAACCAACGGCAACACGGCGTAACGTTCTACGATCGACTTAATTACGGATGCACCGTCGACCGTGCAATACTCACTCTCATCTTGACAGACGAAGGTCCACAGCCACACCGTAGCGAGCGTGGCAGTGCTCGTCATAGCCGCTATCTGCCACGGTTCCTTGTTTTTGAACACATGGTTTACGAACCCCGGCACAGTGTCCACGGAGAGGTGCATACTTTTCTGCAAAACAACGTCGTCGGGCGCGCGTTAGACACGTGGACGAGAAGCCGCGTCGCCGTCGAAAACGCGTCGACGCGAAAAAAAGAGAGAAAGCGCGGCCCGAACACGTCCAAATCAGGCTGCAACTGTGCGCGAAGACCTTGGTTAAGCATCCGTGGCTAACGATCGCTTAAATCGTTTCACGCTCACCTGAGTTTTTCCGGCTGGCTGTCAGCGGCGCGGATACACCGGATACGGTAATCTGTCGCCGAACTCGGGATGACTCGGCGCTTTCCACTCGCTCTCTCGAGATAACGACGCAACTACGTGCGCTCCCGGCGAGATATCTCTGCCGGGCGTCAACACCGAGCAGACGCTACACGAGGCACTGCTGGCTCTCACGAGTATCTGCACCCTACAGTTCTACACCGCTCCGCACGCCACATCCACGCCTGCGAGAATCCAATCACGCGCTAAGTACGCCATCTCGGCAAACAATGCGGCGAGAAAAGTGGGAGGAAGAGAGAGAGAGAGAAAGGAGCGATTTTTAAATCACGACACGCGGCTGGAAGAAATATAGAGAGACCTTTGACTATATAAGTATAGTCAAAGAGGCAGGTTGTTTATGCGAAATATAGGAAAAGGTCATGGATGATGGATGCCGCGAGATATTAAAAAATTGACACCCCGCGACACGCGGCGCCGTCGAACAGCCGGAATAAATAGCCTCCGAAATAGCCGCGCGCGATGGTGCGCGCCATCACTTTCAAATGTCCGAGGCGATATCTCGTAAATAAACCTGGCGATCAAAAGTGCCCTTATCGTCGGAGATAACATAATCGGTCAAAGTGTCAGCCCGAGTCTTCCGCGGCGATTAACTTCCCGGATAGCTGACAATGAGTCGATCGAAAACGGATTTCGTCAAGTCCCGTCTATAAATTTTAGTCGACAGACAGCCACGCGAAAATTATTCTCTTATCATCCGCGTGTTAAAATTTCATTTATAATAATAACTTTTGAGTGAAGTAACATACGAATTTAATAT